CATCAAACTATCTGAATCCCTATGTAGATTAAGGTCATTTGAGTTTACATTAACTAACTACCAGAGAAAAGTAAACTCTGGAGGAGTGTATCATCATCTAGAGCTTCTCCAATTTGTTTCATACCTAATGTGTACAACTTGAGTCGAGTCGAGTCTAGTCTAGTCTATTTATTTGAGCCAGGGTCTCGCTGTGTTGCCCAGGCTGGAAATGCAGTGGGACAGTCATGGCTCACCACAGCCCCGACCTCCTGGGCTCAGGTGATCCTCCTGCCTCAGCCTCCCTAGTAGCTAAGGCACATGTCACCATGCCTGACTGTTTTGGGGGGTTTTTTTTAACCTTTTGGAGAGACAAGGTCTTGCTATATTGCCTAGGCTGGTCTTAAACTCCTGGGCTCAGGCAGTCCCCCCACCCTGGCCTCTCAAAGTGCTTGGATTATCAGTATGAGCCCCCATACCTGACCTGAGATTCAATTCTTTCTTTTTGAGTTGGAGTCTTACTTTGTCACCCAGGCTGTAATGTAGTGGTGCACTCTCGGCCACCCCAGCATCAACCTGCTGGGCTCCAGCGAACCTTCCATCTCAACCTTTCAAGTAGCCGGAACTACAGGTGCACACTACCATGCCTGGCTAATTTTTTAAAAATTTTATTGTAGAGATGAGGTCTCGCCATGTGCCCAGGCAAGCCACTTGCCTTGGCCTCCCAAAGTGCTGGGATTACAGGCTGAGCCACCACGCCCAGCCGAGGCTCAATTTTTAGAATTACCAGACATGCCAGCAATAAACTAAAACCCTAAAAATTGAGGGAGGAAAACAATTATAAAACATACCTAAAAATGATCCTGATGTTTATACTGTCTTACATGGGCTTTAAGTGGCTGTTACATGTTTAAGAAAAAGAAATGGCAAAATGATTTTACTAGAAAAGTGGAATCTAATCATAAGAAACAAATAAAAATTTTAGAAAATGGACAGAAAATATGGCAAAGAGCATAAAAGACATATGGGATATGGTGAAAAGTCTACCATGTATGTAATTGAATTTTAAGAAGGAGAGGAGAGAGAGAGTGAGCAGAAACAATATTTAAGGTACTGTCAGAAAGTTTTCCTAAACCAAAAAAAGACCTCAAGCCAGATATTGAAGGAACTCTACTACTCACAAGCAGGATAAATGTAAAGAAACCATACCCAGGGAATCATAGCGGACCTACTAAAAGCCACGGATAAAGAGAAAATTTTACCAGGACACATTGCCTTCAAAGGACCAACAATAATACCACAAGTGATTTAAATGGAAATGATGGAACCCAGAAAACAATGGACTGGCATTCGGAAAGTAAAGAAAAAAAAATTACTGCCAATATGGAACTGTATATCCATTAAAATTTCCTTCAAAACTGAGGATGAAATAAAGACATTTTCAGCCAAAGAAAAACTGTGCAGACCTACACTTAAGAGAGTTTTTCAGGCAGAAGGATTATGGAAGCACAGAAATGCAGAAGGGACTAAAGAGCAAAAGAAAGGGTTAGTACATATACCCCCACATCTTTAAAATAAGATTAAATTTTAAAAAGGGTTAATACATCAGTAAATGTACATGAGTGTTGACTGTTTAATAATATCTTGTGAGGTTTAAGATGTATATAAGCACTACATATTAAATATAATCATAGAGTATATATTATCAGCATAGTATATGTGGAAAATGTATATATCATTACAATAAAAATATATACATGCACATATATATGTACTTAAAATGTACATAGGATAGAAAGCACACAATAGCATAAAAAGTAGAAAGGAATAAACTGAGTTCATACATCTTAAGGTTCTTTTATTGTCTGGGAAAATATCAAATTATGGTAGACTATAAGTCAAGGATGCATATTATCTCTAAAATAACACTAAAATAATAAAACAAGCATATGTAACTAACAATCTCATAGAAGAGAAAGAAAATTAAATAACAAATATTTGATTAATCCTAGAGAAGGCATGGAATAAGAAAAATGGAAACAAAAACAGAAGTGACAAATAGAAAACAAATAGCATAGTGACAGTTTGAAACCCAAATATAGCAGTAATCATGCTAAATGTAAACAGACTCAATCCTTCAATTAAAAATGATCACTCTGGATTTTTTTAAAAATTCAATCATATGGTGTTTATAAGTGACACACCTTAAATATAAGAACACAGAAAATTGAAAGTAAACGTGTAGAAAAGATTTAACAAATTATATCTAGTGTAGATAGCTATATTAATATCAGAGAAAAGTAAGGTGGTAAGGATTATTAGATATTAGGAGAAATAATTTATTATTTTTAATGGGTCACTCCATCCAAAAATACAACAATTCTAAATTTATTACATCTAATAATATAATCTCAAAATAAAAATGAATGAATTAATAATCTATCGTCCAACCTTGGGAGCTCAGAAGGGGCTGAGAAGAGGACTGAGGTAAGGATGGGGTAGAGAGGAGGGTAGAAAGAAAGAGTATTCAAGACAGAAGGAAGAAGATTTTCAAAGATTGGAGGCAAGAAAGCTTAAGAAACTTTCACTCAAGCTCAGTGGCTCAGCCTGTAATCCCGCGCCTTTGGGAGGCTGAGGTGAGTGGACTGCCCGAGCCTGGAGGTTCGAGACCCGCCTGGACAGCGAGACCTCATCTCTACAATAAATCAACAAATCAGCCGGGCGTGGTAGCGCATGCCTGTAATTCCGGCTACTTGGAAGACTGAGGCGGAAGGATCTCCGGAGCCCAGCAGGTCGAGGCAGCAGTGGCCAGGAGCAGCCACTGCACTCCAGTGGGTGACAGAGTGAGACTCCAACTCAAAAAAAAAAAAAGAAACTTTCACTCATCATCAGAGAAATGCAAATCAAAACCACACCGAGATACCACCTAACCCCAGTAAGAATGGCCAACTTAATAAAACAAACAACAGATGCTGGCGAGGATGCAGAGAAAGGAATGCTTCTATGCTGCTGTTGGGAATGCAAACTAGTTCAATCACTATGGAAAACAGTGTGGTGATTTCTGAAAGAACTAGAAATTGACCCTCCATATGACCCAGCAATTCCCCTCTTGGGAATATACCCAGAGGAACTCAA